AATTTTAATTTAAACTAGTTTCAGTAACAAACAGCAATGAAAAGGAAATCACACACTCTCACAAACATATAGAAACAAAGAAACAGACCTGAGACTTTAAAGTTGACATCCTCAGGGCAAATTGACTTTTAAAAGAAGAAGCATCTCCCTGCTCCTCCCATGGAAGAGCTGAGCTAAATGTGCAGTTGGTTATGAGAGAGAGAGAGTTGCATACAGTGTCAAAGCTACTTAATTCCACAGCTCTGAGTGCAATCCTCTCCTCAGGGAACACTGATCCCTCTCACTGGTTCCCGTGTTTTCGAGTTTGTGGAAAACAGACAGAGATTTAGACTAAGAATTGGTGGGGGAAAGATGGCTGTAGGTATTTATATATCTTACGATGCACATGAAGGCATATCCCTTTACCCCCAGCCTGGGCACGGCTCTGGCAGATATACTGTGCCCTCTGGGATCTTGGAAGCTGCAACTGGGGTCCAATAACCTGTGCAAGCACAGATGGTAAATGAAGGATGACAAACATTTTACTGTCTGCAAGTGTAGGATGACCTAACGGTCAGTTTTAATAGCTGGGATGGAATCAGACATCAGAAATAACCTGAGACTGGACTGACATAGAAAACATGATGTCTGGCAAGACTGGCATACTAAAGCAATAACCCAAGAGAGGCTTTTGAGAGTGATTTTACCATTGGTATAGGGTGTCTGTGCTTAAAACTCATTTATAAAATGGCGTCAACATCAATATGACAGTATTCACAATGAACACAATGTTTAATAAATAGTTTTTAAAGAATTAGCTCACTCCAGAATTAGAATTTCTTGATAATTTACTCACCCCCACGTCATCCAAGATGTTCATGTCTTTCTTTCATCAGTTGAAAATAAACTAATGTTTCTGAGGAAAACATTCCAGGATTTTTCTCCATGTAGTGGACTTTAGTGGGGACCAACTGACTGAAGGTCCAAATTGCAGGTTCAATGCAGTTTCAAAGGGCTCTACACAATCCCACACTCTTAAAAAAGCTGGGTTATTTTAACCCCCCAAAAAAATTCTACGGGGGTTCAGCCTGTTGGGTAATTTTATTGGGTTGTTTTTAATATTTTTACCCAGGTGCTGGGTAGTTTTTCTTTAACTAAGCTGCTGGGTCATTTTTAATGCTGGGTTATTTTTTTTTCTACCAAACCGCTGGGTTGAGCTTGTCTGCTATTAAACAACCCAGCTGCTGAGTTAGTGCGCGGGCTTATTGAGTCCACAGGAGAGAGTAGTTTTGTATTTTGTCCATGTGTTCTTGCTTAATAATAAACGTTCTTTTGATTATTGCTGTTGTCTCTAGTAATTCTGTTTTGTTTTTTGTTTTTTTCCAGTCCATAATTTTAAACAATAGTTGACTTAACCCAGCATTTTTGGTAAAAACATTTAACCCAACCAAAAATGCTGGGTTTAAAACAACCCAACTCGAGTTATTTGGCAACTGGGTAAATACTGGACAGAACACATGCTGGGTTATTTTGAGCCAGCTGGGGCCTGTTTCATAAAACAAATGTACCAAATAAGCCAGATTTATTTGATTTAGTCTGACTTTGGTCAATTTTGGTTCAAAATAAGTCAGAATAACTGAAATAAGCCTGGCTTGTTTGGTAAACTTGTTTTATGAAACAGCCCCCAGCTGGGTCAAAATAACCCAGCATGTGTTCTGTCCAGTATTTACCCAGTTGCCAAATAACTCAAGTTGGGTTGTTTTAAACCCAGCATTTTTTAGAGTGCAGCTGAGGAATAAGGGTCTTAACTAGCAAAACAATTGTTTTTAACCACGATGCTCATCTTGCACTAGCTCTGCGTCTACGACTTCACGCATTATGTAGTCAAGTTAGAAACGTCATCTGTGAGGTAGTACCGACCCAGTGTTTACAAAGCGAAATGCAAAGACTGGTTAAAAAGTATATAAATGTTTATATTTTTTTTAGAAAATGATCGATTGTTTCCCTAGATCAGTGTTTCTCAACCCTGGTCCTGAGCGCCCCCCAACACTGCACATTTTGTATGTCTCCCTTATCTGACACCCTTTTCAGGTCCTGGAGTTTCTTTTAATGAGCTAATGAGTTGAATCAGGTGTGTTTGATTAGGGAGACACACAAAATGTGCAGTGTTGGGGGGCGCCCAGGACCAGGGTTGAGAAACACTGCCCTAGATAATACCCTTATTCCTCTGCCGGGATTGTGTAGCCCTTTAAAGATGCATTGAACATGCAATTTGGACCTTCAACCTATTGGTCCCCGTTGAAGTCCACTATATGGAGAAAAATCCTGGAATGTTTTCCTCAAAAACCTTAATTTCTTTTCGACTGAAGAAAAAAATACATTAACATCTTGGGTGACATGGGTGTGAGTAAAGTATCAGGAAATTTTATTTCAGGAGTGAACTAATCCTTTAATATAATCTGAATAAATCTTGCTTAATAAATGCTGTGTTTATGGTTACAAACAGAAAAAAAGCCTAATAAAACGTACTAAAACAGATCTCTCATAAGCAATATGTTATTTTCTTTCTTTCATAAGCAATATGCCATTTTCTTTCTTTCGTTCTTTCTTTTTTAGAAAGGAAATTAAAAAAATAAGAAGAATGAGGGAGAATCAGTGAATTACGAATAATTCACTGCCATGTTGTGAATATTAAGTAATCATTTAATCATTGAAAAGGTAGTATTTTATGAGTATGAGCATACGAGTATTTTAAAATATAATATAATTGCCTTGAATATTTTTACCTTTGATAACTAATTTCAGTGATCATTGCATCTTTTGGCGAAATTTGCTGTTTTGAATCACAAAATAATTTAAATTATTTATCCTTTTTTTAATAATCAAGGCCACCAAAGAGTTTAGCATTTAATTTAATAATTATTATGCATCTATTTAACCATTAAACTTTTGTGAAATGCCGGTCGATCACGTGCATGAGTATAACAGCTATAGTTGTGTTCCAAATGATGTACAATATACACTATGCTTATACAATGCACTATACCTATAATTTTAGAAGATTATTTTGTCATCCAGCATCAGAGCTAAGTGCTTGAAGTGTCCAACATTCCATTTTTTTTCAGTTAATTAACTGCATCAAGAGCACTTTTTCTTTTTGGAATCTTCAGTGTGAAAAACTACTTAAGTGGCATAAAATAGTATATAAGTACATGATTTGGGGCACACCTTGTGTCTTAGTGGAGTGGCACATTCTTCTGAAGGACAAACGGCAATTGCAAATTACAAACAATTACGTTCATCCAAGAGGAGAAAAAAGAGTACTCCCTAGTCCCCTTGCATGGTAAACAAATTTTACACTATGAGATTATCATGTCTCTCAGTCTTAGGCCATGTTTAATCAGACAAGTGGGATGAGAGCATAACGTCTGATTAACACTCCCGTTGAAGCTGTAAACACCGACCTTGCTGTATCACATTCAGGTCTATAATACTTCTGAGAACAGTGATACTGCTGAAACATGGCTGAGTGATAATATCAAATGGTTAACTAGTTAAGCATTGTTGTATCAGGGTTGAAACATCTGTACCATCTGAAGCAAATACAAACATTTTTCTAAGGTGGAATTTAGGCGGAATTCTCATCATTAGTGCAATATTTGGTTTCATACATGCACATATTTGTTTCTAATGTTAAACAAGAGGCCAGGGAGATGACAAGTATTAATTTGTGACTGAAATGGCTTGAGTGGCTGTGGTTTAGTTCCTGCAGATCCTTCACTGACACCCAGTAGTGAAAACACAGCTGCTTAGGTAAAATGGAAAACTGACTCAGCCATGGAGAACAATGTGTTGTGCATGCCAAAGTAAGCTTCAGCCCCATGTGTCGGACAAAGTGAGAGAGGGGGCGTTAATCTTTAGATATTCTGATAATAGTATTTATATGAACCTTTCTGGAAAATCTTTGGCTTTAAAGATTCTAGCAGATCCTCTGAGCAACTGATCCTCAGCATCCGCGGTATTACCATTAAGACCAAATGCTCAAAAAAGACTTAATTTTTCCAAAATCAGAAGTTTGATGTATTATCTCTAGAAAGAACTAGTATATCTGTACTAAAGTTCATTTTTAAAAGTGATGTGTGTCATTTTTCTTTGTTAGAAGTATTAATATTTATCTTAGAAGTAAGGCATTCGTTGTTGGATTTCTGAGAAACATGTAAACACTGTGGCTCTGTAGTACTATCTATGGGAATTTAACAGATCTGGTCTCTATAGTCTTGAGTCCAGGAATCAGAATAGACTTGCAAATGTTTTATTATCTTTTTAAATGTAAAAGTCTGTTTGGTGTTGCTAGTGGCACAAAAATGATACACTTTACCTTTAAAACCTCTTGCACTAAAGTTCATTTTTATGACTGTCCCAGGGACCACTGCTGGCTTCACAACAAATGCGTGTGTCAGACCAAGTGGCTCTCTCTTTATCCCATAGATGATGCATAGAAACATGGGAACCCTGGCATTCCT